CTTCCGTACGTGCCTAGTCCGGTGTGCTTATGAGCAGAATGTTGCTTACAGAGTTAAAGCGGTATTGGTCATGTAGGGAGCTTGTGAGAGCTGCCACTTTTAGGACGGAATGGATGAGCTTCGGAAGTGGAGTGTCAGGACAGCTGAGGCCTCCACGTATTCGCAGAACCATTTTGCAGTCGTCCGCAGGAAGTGGAGGGGGTCTGGGGGCAGTGCGACGAGTCGATGGGAGAGCTTTCTGTGACTCTTCGTGCTAAGTGTTGATTTCAAGCGTCGATTTCTTCGGGGATGCAGCGGGCTTTCTGGCCCTAGCATACACTTGACGCCAGCTGTCTTCATCATCGTCGAGAGCTTCGGCGAAGGGAAGCTCCTCTCCCTCTGTTTCGTGGATGACGATGATGGTAGGCCTAGCCGGTAGGCCTAGCCGGTAGGCCCACCGAGGTAGTCGAACGCTGCCAAAAAGTCGATCTTCGTGGATACGAACTGCAAAGCACTCACTTGAAATCACTTCAGATGATGCGGTCGATTCCGTAGACAGCTTCACATTTGTTCAAGTTGCCATTGAATGACTTAAACAGTAAGAAACAGGAGTTTTGCCGGAGCACTTGCGAAACGCGGCCACTCCCGGTGGCATCTATGGCGCGTCTCCCCCGCTGCAGGGAACGCAAATCGGCGTCGGTGCACTAACCAGGGGTTATATAGGAGCGTCGGGTGTTGTTAGAGGTGCTAAGGTTGATAATGGCATGTACGGCGGGTTCTCTTAGGTAGCTGGCTCCCCGCCGTCGTCCACATTGCTGATCTTCGCCAGCGAGGAGATGTGTTCGTAAGAGAGATAGAACGAAGGTTTATTTACATGATAGTAGAAAGATGGGACTGTACAGAGATTCAGCACAGAATCAGCTATGTACAAAGATTCAGCTCATGATTCCCCTCTTATTTACAAAATGTGTCGGCTTTTATAGCCCACCGTGTCCTTACACGGAGCTCCGAAAAAGGCGGTGACCGCTCTTGCCACAAATTAGGTGACAAAGTCTCAGTGGTCCACCCATCAGAAAGGGTGCAGATATTGCACCACTTCGCTGGGCGCAAAGGTCCAATAGTATTACGAGCGCACCACACAATGACTCACCCGGCCCACGCCTGGAAGGCGCCGCAGGGAGACGCGGTAAAGTCCAGAAAGGAAAAGTGGAGCTCCTCCGGGGATATGGCCGCTGACCCGAACGTCAGCAGCAGTCCATGGCTGCTTTCAGCTACAGGCTTCCAGAACTCTCTCGAACATGGCAGTCCAAATGCTCGATCCCTGAGGACGGCTTCTTCGACGCCTTCCCATGCTTCCGGGCTGTCGGTGCTTTTGTGGCGATTTCGCGTCGGCGACGACAGCCGAGTCGAGAGGTTAACTCCAAGAGAACCTCCATATTGGCGCCGTCCCACGTTGGTCGAGCCCGTACAACGAAAGGCTTGTCTCGCGAAGATTTCGTTGAGACCCGACTACTACCTGGAACATATACAGGACAGCGTCTTTCAGACTGGGCGCTGATGGGGTACAAAGCATCCTAGCAGACCGGCTTACGCACAATGGCGTCGGCCCAGATGAATCACCGGGCCAAACGTAACAGCTCCTCCACCGCCCGGAAAATGTCGGCTAGTCAGCGCTTCTAACCAGTGGGCACGAAGAGAAACGCTGGTGACGAGGACGATGGCCTGGCTTGGAACCTCCAGCTGCGAACTTGCAACCAACTCCCATTGAACTTCACAATGATTTGCAATAGCAAAACGAACCACACAATAGAATACCTTGTTCCAGTCAAGTGCATTGGACTCGCTCAATACCCTCCAGGCTTCTCAACAAACACAAACAAATGAAAAACCCGTACGCTAAAAGTTTTACAAAATTTTGTGCCACCAAAGATACAGCAATCATGGATGTGGAGATCCTTACTTAATATGGACCAGTTATTCGTGCAAAAAACAAGCAATGGCAAATGAAATTTGGTCCCAGACAACAATAAACAACCTCTTTCAAAGCTAACCTAGCTCCTACCATCCACATTACTATGTTGCAACTAATAACTGCTAACTTCATGACTAACTTTATTGTGCTCACGTGAATGCTGCGTAAACCAGACACGCATTCTTCATTTACTAACTACATACTTTCAAGGCGTAGCCGTGAGTACCTACTTGTAGGACACCCTGACGCCAACGAAAGCTTTCTCGCAACAAACCAAACTTCGTCTCTGAACTCCTTGAAAAGTATTCTTAACCCTAACGTTAGGTAAAGCGCAACGCTAAATTCAAGAGATCACGTGATATCAAAGCACTCACTAAAATAACAAAATAAAGGCAATAAACCACTCGCACTACACCCTCGTATGCTGAATGTAGCCTCACGTCAGCCCATATGTCTTTAAAGAACGCACAGGATTTCGCTATGCGCCCTAGCACGAAATCTTGCTCTCATCCAAAGAGCGCTAACATACTAAAACACACCTAGCTATAAGTCATATTCATATAACCTAGGCATCACTAAACACGCATCTGAACGTAAATGTTTACAAAGAACGACACGTACACAATGAAAATAACTGCATACATGCTACACACTTCAGGAGCATCTAACAAAAATTGCCTAAGTTTTTTGCTAAAAACCATGTACCAAACGTTTTTAAACATAATAATTTCAAATATCACCTCTAGTTTTATTCTGAATCACTCCTTATAAATGCTCATTAACCTTTCAAGATAGTGTACAACCTCGCGCTACATAACAAAAGATAGGATGCATACTGAACACTGCTTCGCTGTAGAACGCTTCCACGATTTCCAAATTAGCGGGGCGCACAAATCTTCATTCTCGACTAACGTGTACTTATATCAAAGAAAAACTCATTGCACGCAGTCGGCCGACTGCTGTGGGTCACTGCTTCCGCATAATGCTTAACAACTTAGAACTCTTAACGCTTACGAGAAATCTTGAAGTGAAAATCTATCTAAACAAACAAGTCGTGGAGACGACACAAGAATAATATTTTAAAACCAAAAATAAGCAAACATACAAAACCACTTGCCCTTCAAAAATTCCTGCGTCGCAATCTCCAGCTTACAGCTGTCCCTTACTCTTCAATCGTACACGCGGTGGTCGTGGTTTTGGAGGACTTCGAGAACGCCTGAGACTACACGGTGTACGTGCTACCAGCTGAACTGCAGCGTTACGCCTCATTCGCGATTTCAGCCGACTTCTGTCCATCGGGAGGAGGGACCCGAGCAATACGTGGGAAAGAAAGGCTATGCCCTCTTTGGGCTTGCTCCCGTGCGGTGCTTAGCTTCTGTGGCCTTTCTTCTAGGACCCATTCTAAACAATTGGCCACGCTAAGCCATAAACCTCTGCCGCGAATTTAGTCGCGAGGATGCGCGCTGTGGATTACCACTTCGCCGCTGGCGCCTTACTGCACGGCACAAAGACCTTTTCGTTGAACTGGCAAATGATCTACCCATCTTTCTTTCGCCGGGCAGTGTGCCACTTCTTTCACCTCTTCGTTTTGTCGCGCGTGTTCACTTCTTCCTTTTACGGTGACGTCTCTGACCAACCTTTCCCTCATTGCTTCGAAATTGGTCGCGGGTTGAGTCATCGGCGGTATTACTTACTCAAGGGCGCTTCTGCACTACCTTCCATAGCACTTCGGCAGTTCAATTTCTTGGCATTGTTGTCATGTTGGTCCGATTCACTTGTGCTAAATCTGTACTCGCGCGTGACCTGAAACGGGCTGATAGAACTGAAATACCGACACCTTACACGGGAATGCCTTCGCGAAGAACCCACTTTTCTTTTCTTTTTTTCGTGCAGCGGTTCAGACGCATGCGGAGCAATTTTGACGCTGCAGCAAAACTCTTAGGTATGCTTGCTACGCTGTCAGGTTTCCAACCTTCTTTTACACGTGTGCTGTCTTTTGTCTCGTTTGCTGCTCTCTGACGTCTCTTTCGTCTGCACCACTTCTTGAGACTCGTCTCTACACCTCTCGCTCGTTTCTCAAGCTCGCCAGTCCTCTTACAGCTTTTGTCACTGTCTCACCCACGCAGTATAAATGATTTTCAGAAAGATCATCTCTTTCACACTCTAGACTGGCGGACAGGTTAACAGACTTCGTAACAAGGCAGCTGCTTCCTTTCGAAAAACTTCGCTCGCCTTCCTGGGTGCTATCTGACATTGCGCTGTTATCCTCACTCTCTATCGCTCCGTCTGAGCTTTCTCTGGTGTCCTTGTCTACTTCTACATTGTTTGCAAGATCCACTGTCACGACAACCTCAGTTGAGGTCTGTACCAGCTTTTCTACAGCTATCCTAGCTGTTTTGCTGACCGTTAACTGCCACAGCATCTCATCGCACTCGCTCTGGCCTTCGTCAGCCTCTCTACTCAGTGCAGCATCTTTCGCAGCACTCAAATTGGGTTCTTCATCGAACCTGCTGCTGTCTTTAAACGCGCTAGCCTTATCAACGGCTATAAACTGCACCTCACTTAATTTTTCTCGCACTTCTCGTGTGCTACACTGACGGATGGCTAAATCTTGCGTCTCATTTTCTCGACTTTCCTTTCCAATTTTTCAATCTCTAGGTCGAGCGCTCGCTCACGCTCTTCGCTATCCCTTCTTTCAGTTTCTTTTCTTTCTTTTTTCTGCTTATTGAAAGTCTCTAGCACGTTTTTTAACTCCTCCTCACTGGCTTTTTGCAAGATCAGCCTTACAATCAGTGTGCTGCCCATTCCATCCTCCACTTCAATGCCTAGATGCTTACTCACAGCCAAAAGTTCCTCTCTAAGCATTGACCTCCACGCCATGATTGCTGCTTTACTTTGTTCCTGCGTCTCACGCATAATTAGGTTATTCCTATTATTCACTCAATACTCAAACTAGGTGATCTCCCTACCTCACAATCAAACTGACTTCTAATCAACTCACACTCGCAAAATGAAGCCCGGAAAGTCAAAGCAAGGGGAAAGTACTCACCGCAACACAGCACCATGTCGCGAGGTCCTTCTCATCACTGTCAACCAGTTGTTAGAGGTTCGAAGGTTGATGATGGCATGTACGGAGGGTTTTCATTAGGGTACCTGGCTCCCCGCTGTTATGCCAGCGAGTCCTCGTCAAACGTCCGTGCCTCTGAAAAAGGCAATCTGGGTCAAGGCCAGCCCGCAGTCCGCCTGGCGCGATCAACTCGACGGCGTGAACACGCGCGGCGCCCCTCTGGCCCACGTGCATTGAGTCAGCTGCGCACGTGACAGCGAGCCGGCGTCCTCGTGTCTGGTGGTCTGACGCATGGCGCGGCAACCCCATTGGAGGAATCTGCCCTGACGACCAGCGGCGCTTCTGATTGGACATTTTGGTTGGACCCGGTGTAAATAAAAGAAGCCCTGCGGCGCGTCGCGATCGGCGGTCCTATGAGAGAGGAGTCCCCATGTCGGAGAGCCGACATGTGTGTGGATCGGCGGTCTTAGGCGAAAAGTTGACCTATGTATTAGAGAGGAGAGCTCGGCTCTTCGAGTCTCTGTCGGCCCCAGTGCCGAATTTGTAATGCCTCTGTATATATGCTGTACATAAACCTTGTTTAACTCACCGTCGTCTCGTCCGCTCGTGTTATCAGCTCTGCGCAGAAGCAGTCGCGAGCTGATAAACATACGCTACCAAACGGCTGGTGACCTTCCCGGCGGAGTTGAAAGCAGTGGCGCCTTCGGGACCATGTTGGCGTCCCCGTCTTTCGCAACAGTGGTGGCTTCGGCGGGATCGGCCCGCTTTCGCAACAGTGGAGGTCAGCGGTGGGATTTCGGAGGTGGCTTCGCAACACCGCCATCTTCAACATTGCTGATATTCGCCAGTGAGGAGACGCGTTCGTAAGAAAGATAGAACGAAGGTTTATTTACATGATACTATAAAGATGGGCCTGTACAGAGATTCAGCACAGAATCAGCTATGTACAAAGAGTCAGCTCATGATTCCCCGCTTATTTATAAAATGCCGCGGCTTTTATAGCCCGCCATCTCCTTACATGGAGGTCCAAAAAGGGCGGTGACCACTCTTGCCACAAATCAGGTGACGAAGTCTCAGTGGTTTACCCATCAGAAAGGGTGCAGATATTGCACCACTTGGCTGGGTGAAAAGTTCCAATGGTGGCACGAGCGCACCTCACAATGACGCCCCCAGCCCACGCCTGGAAGGCACCGCAGGGCGAGGAGGTGGAGTCCCGAGAGGGAAATCGGAGCTCCTCCGGGGAGATGGCCGCTGACCCGAACGTCAGCAACGGTCCATCGCTGCTTTCAGCTACAGGTTTCCAGAACTCTCCCGAACATGGCAGTCCAAACGCTCGAACCCTGAGAACGGCTTCTTTGGGGTGTTTCCATGGTTCCGGGCTATCGGTGCTTTTGTTGCAATTTGGCGTCGGTGACAACAGCCGAGTCGAAAGGTTGACTCCAAAAGAACCTCCACATTGGCGCCGTCCCACGTTGGTCGAGCCCGTTTAACGAAAGGCTTGTCTCGCGAAGTTTTTGTTGAGACCCGACTGCTACCTGGAACATCTACAGGACAGCGTCTTGCAGACTGGGCGCCGATGGGATTGAAAGCATCTTAGCAGACCGCGGCTTGCGCACAATGGCGTCTGCCCAGACGAATTGCCGCGCCAAACGTAACAGTGTGCGCTGTTCGCTCTCTCTCTCTCTCTGGCCTTCACTGGCCCTCTCGTGTGCGAAGGAGCACCTGTACGCCTAGTCTATTGAATACCCGGTGTAAATATGTAAATAAATCGTGTGCTATTTGTGTGAGCATGAAACCTCCCAAGACTATCTCCTTCCTCGGTTCCTGGGTGCACCTGTACCCCGCTCCTCGGTCACATCAGTCCTAAGCTCGAAATCGACTATAAGCATCCGTACCTTGATTTTCTTGTTTTATGCGAACCCTATTTGCAAAAAAAACGACTAGAAGCGTGTTTGGCATGACTGCAGTGGGATTCCTCTCCTGGTTTTCGCATTGCTCTCATATCTGATGACTACTGGTAGCCGGTCTGCCACCGAATTCGCCCACCGCGTTGGTCTAGTGGCTATGGTGTTCAACTGCTGGCCCGAAGTCCGCAGGATTCCGGCCACGGCGGCCGCATTTGGGTCATTTTACGCCAAACGTCTGAGCAATTCTGGTGACCATCTCAAATGTATTAGAAAAAAATTGTGCTGATTTACTGCACGGAAGAGAGTAAATTGCTAGAATATTTTGGACGGAAAAAAGTTTTGGTCACGTCAGTGCTTTCTGAACTTCCTAGAATTTCGTCTAGGTGTTGACTGAAAAACATTTATTTGAAAGGTACTGTTCTTTCTTTCGGAACAAAATTTTGTGTGCATGATAAGTAAAGCTGATTGTGTAAGGTGTTCGAAGCTCAGTGATAGTAATGCAATTTTTCTGCCTCATGCGTCTCCGAGAATTCAGCCAAAGTGTTTTATGTTTGCACTTTTTTTGTTGCGATACTGCACTTTGTATGAATATCGGAACAATGAATACTTACTCTACAGAAGGTATACCTTGTAGAGAGAGAGAGAAAACATTTATTGAAAGAAGCTTGTGAGTGAAAGTGGGAGGGTCCCTTATTCCAGGAACCCTCTGGCTTGGACAGCCCACTGAGCTCGAGCGACGAGTTGACGCTGCTCGACCAGGTCCAGCTGGGAGAGCGCAGCCTCCAACGCTTCACTGAGGAGGTCTTGGTCCGCATCTGGTGCTGCTGCTCGTATTTTTGGGACGCTTACTTTGCACTGCAGTAGGAGGCGCGCCAGAGTGTCTGCCATATTGCAGTGAGGGCAGATGTAGCTGTGCAACGTTGGCCTCATATGGTGCAATAGTACGTCGTGGGTGAACGTGTTGCTTTGAAGACGCCTATAGTGAGTCCCTTCGTCTCCTGTGAGTTTTGGATGTGGCGGAGGGCATAACCTGCGTTGGAGCCGATAATGTTGCAGTAATGCATGGTACGTTAGTGGTATGACTTCTCTTGCCTCTGATTCTGTTGTTGAGTGGGAGGTGCCTCGGATCTCGTATGGCAATGCCCGGTTGACGCATTCGCGAGTTGCGGTGTGTGCCGCTTCATTTCCCTCGAGACCATCATGACCCGGAATCCACACGATGCATGTGTAGGGAGGAGGATTGTCCATGCGCTTTAGTAGCCTAATCGCCACCGTGGAGACGCTGCCTTTCAGGTAGTTCCGTGCTGCTGTTTGTGAGTCGGTAAAGACCACGATGGGATAAAAACATTCGTACTGCTCGAGTCGTCGAAATTTACGGGAAAAAATCACAAACTTCACAAAATCGACATTTTGGTCCATATTGAGACGTGATTGGCACCATGTAGTGGTCCAGTTAAAAATCACCTTTAGACCACACTTGAAAGCGAATAAACAGTTCTTTTTGTGTGGTAAGTATTATCATTACATTTTTTGTTTTAAGGAAGAAAATATTTTTTGAAGTTTCATACTGATGGCAATAGGGAACTTCAAGGCAAAAGCTGTGGTATGACCAAATGGAAAGATAGTCGTCAATGGGAAACTCAAAAATTATTTTCTTCCTTAAAACAAAAAATATACTGATAAAACTTGCCACATAAAAAGAACTGTTCATTTGCTTTTGAGTTAGGTCTAAAGGTGAATTTTATCTGAACCACCACATTGTGCCAATTGCTTCTCAATATAAAAAAATATGTAAATTTTGTGAAATTTGTGATATTTTTTTGTATATTTCAACAATTTGAGCGCTCAAATTATATTTTTTCTACAAAATATATCTTTTTTGAGTAAGTATTCATTCTTCAGATATTCATACAAAGTGCAGTATTGCAACAGAAAAAATGCGAACATAACACATTTTAACTGAAATCTTGGAGGCGCATGAGGCAGAAAAGTTGCATTAATATTACAGAACTTCAAACACCTTACACAATTACTTTTACGTAACATGCACACTAAATTTGGTACAGAAAGAAAGAGTGGTACCGTTAAAATAAATGCTTTTTTTTTTCAATCAACACCCGGACGACATTCTAGGAAGTTCAGAAAGCACCAATGTGACCATTTTTTTTTTGCTGTTCGAAATATTCTAGCAATTTACTGTCCGCAATGCAGTATATCAGATGTATTATTCTCTAATACATTTGAGATGGTCGCCAAAATGGCTGGAAAATTTGGCGTGGAATGACCCATTTTGAATGGTGGTGAAAATGCTCGAGTCCCGTGTATTTAGATTCTGAGTGCACGCTAACGAACTTTTTGGGTGTCGCAATTAAACCCAACCAGTTATAATTACGGCTGTCCAATATGAAACAGCGCTTGCACGAAGGTGCTTACAGCCGGTGGCAGCGCCTAGCAGCCGTGAAGCGCTCCGATATTCCAATTAGCACATGACCACTACCGACGATAATTTTGTTGGGACCGCGAAGTGTATATTACACCGATATAGATGAAGGTGTAGCTGAGCCTGTATAGTTCGGCAGGACAGCTGTCTATGCTATACAAGCACTAAGATCGACAACTCGTCCACGCGAGGCCAAAGAATCACATAATGCCTGTGCTAAGCAGCGCACGAAATTAGCGCGACAAGTGTGAAAGCGCAAGCAAACATTACGCTAGCTGGCGCTGCTTGTTCGGTCGTGTTTTTTTCTCCATTGCCATGTTTAATGCATCGATCGCTTCACACTAACACATACAATAATAACATTTGTCGTGGGCCATTTCACGTTTTTCAAATGTTATATTCTCTTTATGATAGCAACAAGAATTTCTGGAAATGATGCTGCGGACAGCTGACGGGATGAGAGCCAGTCGGGCAATGCCTGTAGCACACGGCCCCTGGTTTCCAGAATTATGGGAATGAGCACACCAAGGGCCGTACACATATGCCGAGAATCGGGAGTGTGTACGTTGTAACTCAACGGAAATGTCTTAATAACTTTTTATTGTCCACATTCCATTCAGGAGTAAACAAAGTGCTGAATTGGCAGTCTCAGGACCTTCATAATGTCAAAAGCCGGTTAACGAAATCTGTTTAATTCGTTCAAACAAATCAAGCCATGTTTTGTTGAATGGGTTGACATTATGTATTTAGATTGATGCAGCAGGAGTGCTGTATG